GTTATAAATATTTCCACGGATTTCTAATTAAGTACTTTTCAGGAAAGCAATTACCTATCATGTATTGCTGTTTTGAGAGGAGTTCATAACTCGGTTATTGACAGTCAGGATATCCACTCCCACAGTTGTTTGTTTATTTGTTTGCCTGTCATTTAGATGTTTGTCTTAAGAGGTGTTGTGTGTGTAGCGGTAGTCAACAGCATTTTCAGCGAAAACCTGTGAATTAGACGTTTACGTATGCAGAAAGACTCGATTTGCCAGTTTATCATTCCTCGTATAAATGTTGTGATTATATTAAGTTATACTTTTAAAATCTCTCGGTACAAAATTTACTTGTTCTTTTGATAGTGTTTAGACACAAAACAATGCTCGATGAAGGGATTTTCGTTTGACCTTGAAAATGTGTTTCTGTTCAGTTGAGTTCATCTCCTGTTTAAGTGCTAAAAGTTGAACAAATATGAGGCCCTATGCGCCAACTTGGCGCCAGGAGACAGGTGAAGGTGAAGTTGAACAAATAAGGTTGTTTTTCTGTGCGATGTTTTCATCCTCCTCCCATATGATGGATAATGTGTCGTTCGCTGGACCAATCAAAAAATGTAGCTTGTATTGCATTATTTCCCATTGTGATAACCTGACCTGTAAATCACTCCTTGTGAATATCACACCAGCTGACGCTGACAAGTTTAGTTCAAGCGTCTAACAATTTTTCGTTTATCTGGCTTTTTATTTCTTAGTTTTTTTTACTGCTCTCCCTGTCTTGTAACCGGTGTTCAGCGTCTCAGTTTCCTGTGAACAAACTCGATCAGTTGGTAACGCTCCCTCCACTATCCATTTGTTTGTGGTTTGCGTTCTATTTGGAGGTGATCATTTCAAGTTCAAATGAAATATCCTCTTACCAACCACACGCACAGACACACCCGCACAGGAAATGAACCTTTCCAATCAATGTCGACTAAACTAAATCCAGTACACGTTACATACCGTCTTGCCACACAATAATAAGACTTCCGAGAGCATGTTTATAAAGTTTAAACTTTAAANTCTAGAGATTTAGTTACCATTTACTGTTTAAAATCTTTCTTTCATTGCATGCATGCATTCATTCATTCATATCTGCCACCCCTCTTTCCTTACATCCATGCATCCATCCATCCATGGCCATTTATCCATCCATATCATTCATTACTTTCTTCCTTCCCTCCATCCCAGTCCCGCCCCAACATCCTTTGTTCCTTCCTCCCTTCCTTCCTACCTACCTACCTACCTACCTACCTACCTACCTACCTACCTACCTACCTGTCTACCTTCTTACTCATCTACCTGCCTGGCTGCCTGGCTACTAAGCATTTTCTGACGTGGTCTACCAGCCAAGCAGTTGATTTATTAGATACTTTTGTTACAATTGGCCTCGAAGCCTTGTATTCACCTCGGCCAGCCAGGACTCGGTCCTGCTAAAGTCGAGCTTCTCCTTTTGGACACCATCTTATTACTGAAAGCTCCCTTCTCCCCGGCAAAACGTCCATATGTATTCTCCAGGGAAAAACCTCTGCTAGTCGGAACCTATATAATGCATACAACGGACATTAAAATGATCCCGGCTCCATATATTTACCAAACCTCTTCTTTACGAGAAAACCAGCGATAAGTTTGTGTTAAATAGCGTTTACTGTTTGTGGTTTCAGATCAAACTGCCCGTTAAATGTCTATTACACAATTAAGATGCACCTCAAGCTTTGTGAAGGTCCGTTTGACGAGGAGAACTCATGCTATTTACCTCTTCAATACGGACACTTGGTTCTATCCCTTCAATGTCCGAAAGGCGAAGGTCGACTGTATCAGTAAAACACTTGTTTTCTATAGTCCCTACAAAGTCTCTTCTCTTCTAATTAATGATCTTTTTTGTTTCTGTTCTCTCTGACACAGCACCAGGATGCAGATTGATTTTTCCCGCATACAGTACGGGGAACAAGCCGAATCATAACGTGAATTAGTTCAGGTATAAGAAACTACAGGAAGTGCCGGCCATTCCCCTGGCCCTGGATTGGCTGGCTACTTCATGCATGGGAATCGTGGTTTCCGTGTTTTCCTCTTACTTGTCATTTTTTTTATAGAAAAGCTTGAGTGGACAATGTTACTTGTAAATCGTACGACATTTTTGGTGCACGTAGTATGCTTGACAAGGTTGATTAATATTAATGTTTTAATTAAGTTTGCATCACTTTTCTACTTTTTTTTACCTTATTTTTATTGTCCCATTTAGTGGTTCTTGTACTTCTATAATTTCAGCTTAACACTTAAATAAGGGCTTTGTTCCTATCATTACAGTCGTTAGCAAGTTGCAATTTAAATCTACACAAAACAATTAACTTGTAGTAGGCTTATGCGTGCCGCGAAAAAAAAATTGTTTTGCTTTAATTGGCCCCAAGTTGATCAGAAGGAAATTTTTTTCCAGTTTTCCTTGCCTCAGTGGAAAAGTTAATTTCAACAGGAAAATTTGGTAGTTAGTTGGTAGTATGATGTAAGTTTTAGGCAAGTGCAAACTCAATATTTACATAATAGCAGCTCATGGCAAACTCCACCATATCTAAAATTAAATGGAAAAGTACTAGAGCAATTTACAGTACTGAAAGCTACCGAAATTATTGAAACAATAGTGCTAGTTAGAGGCCAGATTATTATTGCTGATCATAAGTTTTAAACTGATAGTTTAAAGGGATTAATAAATGAGTAAATAAATAAATTATTAAATGCTTTTTTGAGGAAAAAATTTGCCATGTTTCGTAAACATATAAAAAAGCCATTAACCATGGTAATCAGCTGTCTATCTGTATCATATCGTGCAACACCTTGCGGGGCTCAACACTAACACTTACCCGCTTTCCATTGGAAAGTATATTTGCTTCTAGGAAAGTAAAAAAATCAAAACTGAACCAAAATACTTACAAGATCCGGTGAGTAAATTTTGAGCTATGTTGGAAAGTAATGTTTAGGCAAAGCAAATGCATAAAAAATAATCAAATGATAGAAATAACCGGATCCGACAATGATCTTCTGTCTTCAAAAGGACAAGTTTACACCATTCTAGCATTTACTGATCTGCCATATTGGAGTATTGGGAGAGCTGCTGAGTAGGTCTGGGTGCAATAAATACATGTGGTATGGTGCAATTCAATCCACCATTTTGGATTCCTCCTCCTACCTCCATTTCGAAAAGTAAAATTTTGAGATGGAAAGTAAAATTTGAAATCTACGTTACAGAATGGAAAGTAGTGTTAAAAGTTAGTGTCAAGCCCTGCCTTGTAGTGAGAACCACATGAGTTTGTAAGTAGTTAATATTATGAAAGGGACTGACTTGCCTATGATGAAAAAGCCTAGAACAACAATGAGGTCATAAGCAGCCAATAGTGGTTTAGGATTAGTAGACGAAAGATTTGCCTCGTTTCGAAAGTTCTGGAATTTTTAGTCGAATGGAAGGCGCCCATAATCAACTGAATCGTAAAGTTAGCGTATATATCTAGGGTAGATAAAATTAAAAGAATCATGGAAACAGATTTGGACTGCTTTCCTGTTAATTGCGAACTAGGAAGCGAAGGGACTGGGTGAGATAGTCGAGGGAGAAGGGTCTCCATAGTTCACTTCGAAAGCGTGAGTTGGAGCCTGAGCCAACGGAGTGCCGGCGGAGCGACTCTGGGATTATTTGGGAGGTAAAAACAAACCATACGCAGTGCACGCGAGGAGCCATGTGAAAATCAAATATGAACTGAAAAAGACGTCCATGGTACAATCCTTCCCCGAGAAAAGCCAGAATACTACATGGCTCGTGTGTCATCGCCCGAATGTACACATTTCTTCAGGCCTACAAAGCCGTTTCTCCGATACGCCCATTCCCTCTTCTCATAAGAGCCATAATTAAGATTTTGTGCCTTTCCAAAAAAACATATCATAGAGGAATATGATTGCATTCCACTAGGGAAGACGTGTGTAAAATTCGATGTCTTCATTCCTTTCCTCATATTTTTAAGTGTCAAATCTCGGATTGTTTAGCTCTGTTTATTCTCAGTGTCTCAACTGGGCAACCTCCGTAGCCATGGTTTTACATTCCTCTTCAATACGTACCTTTTCTACTGGAAACTTATCCAGTATTACTGCAGTGAAAAACTGTGTGAGTTCCACAATCTGAAACGGAAGGAGTTGGGTCTTCAGAGTTCTTGTAGCCTAGTCTCTCGGTGCAGGAAGAATCAGCGAACGCTTCAAACGTTTTGTTCACTTCATCATATTGAGGTTTAGCAATCTTCTGTAGTTTTCTGCGCATCTTCATGATCTTAATCCACTGAAAATACTTGGCAAGTGCGATCTGTTCAGCTTCCTCTCACCGCTCCAATGAGCTGAGCAAATGCGAGTGTTTTCCGAGAAAAACTTTAAATTATCGTTACGTATCAAACGTACATACTTCCGGCGAAGGCTTTTCTCTCGTGATTTCCTATGAAAAGTTACATCTGAGTTCTTGTAATCATTTAGACACAAACGCACACGGAAGCTCTTGTGCCCTGGCGCCATTTTTGAATCTGGCATAAATAATACCATTCTCGACCCAGGCTGCCATTCTTTTTCGAAGTGAGTTATTAGTCAGTATTACCAAGAGAAGGTCACGTTACTTACCTTGATCTTCTCTTGGTATTAGATATGCTATTGAACTAGTCGAGTCTTTTGTGTTTTTGCAAAACCGTGAAACCAGACCAACATTCCCAATAAAGCGTTTTCACTGTCACGCAATAAAAAATAAAATCAAAAACCATTCAGTGGATAAAGCGAAGAAATGTGATATTATAGAAGATAAATAAAGAAGACAACTCTCCAAGTTTAAAGTGTGTGCGTTGTCCCAAAGTTGAGATATTCGTCGAAATGTTCCGCGCACATTTACAGAGCCTAGTATGGAGCCGCTATGTTGGTGTTCCTCTGTGGGACACCAACATGGCGGAAGGAAAATAGTGTTAACATCTGGAACTTACTTTGCCTATCTAGGCGACTGATTAACTACACTGAACAAACAAACATTTAAATAAGCACTTTTCCAAATACTTTAACGTCTTAAATGGCTAAAAATCACGAGATAAATACATATTTTTGGACAAACGCGATCGTAGCTTTATGTCACGCACCGCCATGACTCTGAAATTCAAAAATGCGCTGGTTTCCAAACGAAGGACGCTATTGAGCTGGGAAGTTGTAAACAGATATAAAATTAGTACCTCTTACGCCTAATTAGAATAAAAACTTTCGTGGCTCTAGTTTTGGATTTGAGAATTTGATGACGTCACGTGAAAACGCTCTATATGAACCAAACGGGTTGATGCTGTGTATGAACGGCATAAAAATCGTTTGGAAATGAGCCGACAAGAAGCGACTTTTTGAAACCCTTTGAGATTTTCTGACCTTAAACATTTTACGCACTTCACCTAGAATTTTTTTAACTACCTGCTGAAATTTGTTCACTGCCTCTTATTTGAAGTTGTTCAGTTCAACATGAATTGACTTTATTTCCACGTATCAATGAAATGCTCACTCGCTTACTGTCAGTGGACAACTCGAAATAGACTACAACCAAATCTTTGTCTTGCGATCACACGTGTTTTTTGACGAACAAGACATACCATAATATAATATTACAACAGTAACTCAACAATGTCCACGGAGGGGTGACTAAGTTATATGTCCAGTCTCTTAGGAGCTCGTATGACTCTTCCACTGCGGATTCGGGCCTGAACATCCTCCCCACCTTTCCGACACTGTCGGAGATTTACATTTGGACTCCTTACGGCTCGTGACGATCTCTTCTTCCCCATACTCTCCTTAACCTTGTTTTTTGACTCCCCACCGTGAGCTTCTCCATCATAACATTCTGCCCTAAGAGACTGATTACTCGCTTCCAGTCAATGTAGTCTTTGAATGGGTCTGCATCGGTTTCCTTTCTGTGTCTTCAATTCAACACTGCGTACAAGGCCATCCTTTTCAGGAAACAATTTCTCAACTCGTCCCATTGGCCACTTCCCCCTTGATACGTTGTCCTCGGAGATCAGGACTACATCCCCAACACTAAGGGCTGGTTGCTCTTCGTTCCATTTCGGTCGAATGGATAGCTGATGTAGACACTCTCCTCGCCATCGCTTCCAGAAGTGATTAACGAACCTCTTTTGGTACAAATAACGTTGCGTTGTTGTTTCTTCATTAACAGGGACCTCTTCAAGGTCAGGAAGGTCAAACAGTGATCTTTCAAGAGCAAGATGAGCGGGCGTTATGGGTGTAGGATCCCTGACATCATCCCTTACTGTTGTGAGGGGTCTGGTGTTAATGAGAGCTTCGATTCTGGTAATTATAAGGACTGTTGTTAACTCTGCATAGGACAACAAAGCTTTACCTAGGACCTTGCGAAGAGGCTCCTTCACATTTCGTATCAATCTTTCCCACCAGCCGCCACGCCAAGGGGAACGTTCAACTATGAACTTCCATTTGATTTCTTTAGACGCCAATTCAACTTAGCTTGAAGCTCATCTTAATCTATGTCATTCCAGGGTTGATCACTGTCAGATGATTGTGACTTCTAAAGCTTTCGAATCTGACGATCTGCACACTTAAAGGTCTTGGCGTTATCTGACCAAATGGTACTACAACGGAGTCTATGGGTCAGCCATGTGTTCTGTCGTAGGACAGAAAGTGTATTCTCAGGCCCTGCATGAAGTAATTCATTGTGAACACTCTGGATAATTTTCTCGACAACTGGATGGCCATGTGGCAGGATATTTGGATGTTTAGTCGCCTCGGGAAGATTGGAATATTGCAGCCTTCCTCCTATTCGTAACACACGATCTTCCTTGTCAAAGTAGGGATCCAGCTTCAATATAGTACTGGTTTTGGGTAATGGTTGGCCTGCCTCCAGCTGTACATACTCTATTCGGTACACTTCTCTTTGAATTTGACGATACCAGATCAGCTTGGCATTTTTCATCTCTTCAGCTGACAGTTGCCTTGACTCAGAGCTTTCTCCAGATTTGAAGACTCGAACCCATCGCAGTACGCATGCGGTTACTCTAATAAGGGTCAACCATTTCTCATATCGACAGGCGTCAATTATTGGTTCCTTGGCAAGTACAGTACATGTACTTTGTATGCGTTGTCACCTGTTTCGGCTTCCTCTCCCTTTCGACAAAATCGGAAGACTCTTCATTTCCCTGCCTTTCAGTTGGCCAGCAGTTTGAAGCCAGCCACTTTGGCCTATTCCACCATAGGCTGTTTTCAGCTAAGACCTTTAATGACAATCCATGGGTAATCAGATCAGCTGGATTATCCTCTCCAGGACAATGTTTCCGGTGTTGAGGATCCCAGGTGGACTGAATTTCAGCGACACGATTCGCCACAAATTTCTTCCACTGAGAACTACAACCTTGGTCACAAGGGTTGGAAAAAAATCATTCTATACACATTTTGCCCCTCCCCACACCTGAGCAATGTTGACAAAACACTTTCATCTAACACAAGTTTGCATTTTACCGTTTTCCAACATTGAATGGGGGAATGGGGTTGTTGACACTCATTCTGTAGGTATTACGATTATCATTTCATGATTTTGGCATTTTCCAACACAATTTGTCCATGATTGTAGATCCTCTGATCCACTGAAGGGTTACCATGCTGTTCGTCCACCATACCACCCGGTCTAGTTTGAAACACAAAGATTCTGCAACAAACTTCAGCAGCCGTGAGTTAATAGCAGCTGCAAGCAACTCTAAGCTTGGAAGCGAGACAGTTTTTGTAGGCGCAACTCTTGATTTATTTGGACATAACTAGATGGGTTGAAACCTTGCCAGCGGCATCCATAGTTTGGATGTAAACGGCTGCACCGTAAGCTTTTGGTGAAGCGCCACCAAACCCGCGAAGTTTGATGATTGATCTTCCGTTTGCCATGAAGTGGCGAGGAATATTTATGCGACTTAAACAAGGGAGGTCCGATTTCCAGGATCGCCATTGAGCAGCAACCTCTTCATCAAGCTGATCCTCCCACTCAAGCTCTCTCTGCCAAAGATCTTGAAACAGGATCTTAGCTTTAACTGTGAACGGGGTGAGTAGTCCTACGGGGTCAAATATCTTCGACGCAATACTCAACAGACTTCTCTTCGTTTCAGGGTCATTCATCTTAAGCACGCTCTGTGGAGTGTTGAATTGAAAAGAGTCAGTTATGGGGTGTTCTGTACACTCTGTGAAATCAGTGTTTGGACCAGTTGAGACACTTGTTTTTTCTGGGTTTTTGTTCTGAATTCTGTCAGTATAACTGTTTCCCCTTCCCACCGAAAAGGTGCTTGGCATCAAAGAACAGTGCCTTGGGCTTATTAGCAGTGTATCCATATCAATTCAGAAAAGCCTTGCAAAATTACAATGGTGGTGTGATAATATTGAGAAAGCTGCCTATCTTCTCTTTACCCCAAATGCAAAGACTGACATAGCCCTACACATGCTTCACACAATGGTTAGGGTGCAGTCATGGGCATTGAAAAAACAG